TGTAACTACATGGAACAAGGGGGGAACAAAGCACCACTTTAATTTACAGCCCGCAAATGTTGTATTTACCCTGTAACTACATGGAACAAGGGAGGAACAAGTTGGACTTAAATACAGATGTGTATATTTGCACAGTAATTACAGAGAAAAATATTGCACTAGTTTTAATTTAATTGTTCGATGGCCAAATTAAATCCTCTACATTTTTTTTGCTATAAAAACACCAAAGTATACAGCCACTGAAATACAAATGTTGTATCATGTATTTTCTTCTGCGAACAGCTGGAAAGAGGTAAGCTTGTTTTAAGCTGCATTGAACCTTGATGGTATATCATGCAAAGTTATTTGGTGATAGTGGTGTTGAGAAGTTGCTGGTGTGAAGTTGCTGAAATCGACGAATAAGCTTTCATAAGGTAAGTAGACTTGTGAACTATAAGTCATAGCAGAAACTCATTAACTAAGTTCTCTAGATGTCCAGTTTTGTTGTTCAGTAATCTCCATCATGTCCATCCTTTAATAATAGAATGTGTACCCCATGGATAAAAAATACCTATATGCCTACAATAAAATACCAATATATTATAAAAAGTATATATCGTCTTTCTAAATCATTCCCAAATATAAGATTGTTGTTTAAGCCATACATACCATGTAATATTAGAATAAGCACCTCTTAGTTTCAAAATACTTACAGTATAAATTATTTGTAATTTTACAGGTTGTTACCCCTTTATTCCCCAAACATATTATTCCCTTAAACCTACATGGAGGTACTGAATAGGTACACTATAATTACAAAAAAGTTACACTGTAACTTCAGTTTACTTACGCAGTTCTTTGCAGGTTGCATATCTGGTTGTTACCCCCTTATTACCCAAACGTAACACATTGTTCCCTTATATCTACACATATGTTCTTTATAGGTACACTATAATTACAGAAACGTACACCATAAATTCAGTATACTTATATAGTTCTTTGCGGGTTGTAATCTAAAGCGTTACCAACTTTCAGCAACACAGTGAAGATGAACTTAAATCATGAGCTGAACATTATATGCAGATCTAACATATGACAAATGGGTTGATATTCCCTCAAGTTTATATGTTAAAGTTTCACTTATTTATAACCTGTTGTTATGAACTGTTCTATTTTGTAAACATTCTACAGCATATACATAGAGTCTCTTACTCTATGATACAGCTACATCCTTCAGAACCCAATTAAATTCTGACATGAATTAGGGTGAATCTCATGAAAACATGCCCTGGTCACATTTTACCCCAAAATGAAGGGGAAAAAATGCATAATTATAGTTGCATAAACAGAGAAAAATGCCTATTTTCAGGACCATTAAGATTTTTTTCATTGTGACATTATTTTCATGACAATTAAGGATTTCTCCCCTCAAATTCCCAGTATGTGTGCAGACATTTTATTTCTGCATTTTTTGTTAATTAATTTATTTAGTATAATTCTCATTGTTTTTAAAGGTGATTCTCATTAGATACAATTTACTGTAATACAATTATTTTTGTATTATAATTTATTTGATTAAATCTGCATAAATTGGCAATACAGCCAATATTACAATGAGCTTTAAATAACTATATAATACTTATATAATTTTTTTCTTTCTTTCTTTTGACTTTGAGATGAAATATATTCTGGACATATTCATGCTCCCAATTTTTCTTTTTTGGGCATATTCTATGGAATTTGTGAGGGTTTAATTGCAGTAATACACTCCAAATACATCAGGATTAATAAAGGCTAATTGTAATGCATGTTTTTATTTATTTATTTATTTTATAATTCCCATTATACTCAAATGTGATTTTTATTAGATTTTACTGTAATACAATTATTTTTATATTACATTTGATTTGATTGAATCTACATAAATTGTCAGTGCCACAAATATTACCATGTTTAAATAATTACATAATTTCTTATTTTTTCCTTTTAAATTTGGGGTGAAATATGTTCTGTACATATTCATGTTACCACTTATTCTAATTCTAATTTATTTTACATATTCTTAAGTATTTGTGAGGGTATAATTGAAGTAATACATTTAAAATACATCAAGATTAATAAAAGCTAATTGTAATGCATGTTTTTATTTACTTTTATGATTCCCATTATTCTTAATGGTGACTCTCATTAGATTTGCTGTGATAATCTGCATAAATCTGCATAAATTGGCTGTACAGCAAATATTACTTTGATGTTTATATACTGTATACTGAAAAAGACTCTTTGAAAATTATGGAAACATTGTAATATGGAAACACATGCTGTGTGTTCATCAAGATACTAGTATATTTTAGCATGCCTTGCTCGAATTCAGTGCCTTTGGAATAAAGTATGCATGTTTACGATGACCTGTCAACAACACATCAGTGGCCTTTTCTACTACCAGAGAACACCCTGGGATTTTCAAGAGCAACCTCATTTTCTTACACAGTTTGACAGCGTAATCACTTGATTGAAGAAAATCTCACTTCACTGTGGGAGATGCATAAAATAAGGCACTACAGCTATCTTTTCTCCCCCTCACATACTGTATCTGCAGTAGACCCAGTGCAGCCTGAGCGTTGAGGTTTTTTAGGTTTTGGCTTATTCGCTTTGGGTATTAAGTTGCAAATTCTATCCAGCTGGAGAAGGGAAACCAACTTATCTACCTCCCTTGGTTCCCCCTAAATAACATTTAAAATATCCCACACCACTCCCTGCCTCCACTCCACACACTATTCAGGGCTTAAGTAATCGCCCATCCTGGAAGGTAGAAAAGATTTGGAGGTCATTCAGTTAGTATGGCTCTCATAGAGAGTGAAAGCGTGAATGAAAGAAAGAAACTCAACAAGGGGGAACGAGAAAGCATGGAAAAACAAGGGGATAGATTGCAGGCACGCAGGTGCAATCCAGACACATATGAGGTGGCGATTAGGGAGCATGGGGCCCTGTGTGGGGCGAGGGGAACATCTGTGCCTATACCAGCCCACACAAAAGAGGCGGAGGGCCTCTCCACTCTCTCCATTCCCAAAGACCAGCAAGGCCTTTTCCAAATAGGCCAGTCTCAATCACACAGACTAATTTAGAGCACTCAGCCCCACAGCTCATTAGCATATGAAAAACTGCAAGGCAGAGTGCATCATGGGTAACTCAACAATACACTACATTTGACTATATATGCGGTGTCAAGTCCTCTTTTTCTCAGTCTGTGGTTTATTTTATTATAAAAAAAGAACTACTTTGCAGAACTTGGTCATTATGTACAGTTTTCACAAACTGTTATGACACGTTTCCACAATTAATAAGATCATAAATCTAAAGTTTTTTTATATAAATTTTTTTTTTTAATGAAATATTTATTTATAACTGTCAGACCATCATGGACTCTGTTTGTGTTTTGCATTGTTTCCCGCTCCTTTTTAGTTGTCATGGTTATTAATTTGATTTCATCATTATGCTCAGGTGTGTGTTTCTGTTCAGTTTGAGTTCAGTGTCGGGTCTTAAGTTAATGTAGAGTTGTGTTGGACAGGTTCTCTTTGTGGATTCTGCCTTGTGGATTATGAAAGTCTGTTGGAACTTTAACTTCATCGTTGCACACTTGATCACCAAACACACTAGTGACAGAAGACCCGACCTAAAAAAGTAAACAAGCAGTGGCGTGCCTTAATCTCGTTTTATTTTGAGGAGCATGTGGATGAAATCCTGGGTCTCGCACATCAGACCACCTTCCCAAACGACTACCTTTGCTTGTTCCTGCACGCTGGTCTGAATACCGCCACATGAGTGCAGTTGTTCAGGGAGTGTCATCGAGGGAGCTTCGTTAACTATGTGGATTGGGAGCTGGTTTCAGCCTATACCATTGATGACGACGCCAGCCCCACTCCCAACCCAGAGCCCAGACAGCCATCACCCAGCTGCATGGAGCGTCTGCCTGAGCCCTCCGCAGATGGAGAGCCAGTGCCCACCGTGACCGAAGAACCAGCTCGAGAAGAAGTGACTGAGCCTGCATTGGTCATGGAGCGTGAGCCGATTTACGTGTCTGACCAGGTGTGTGAGCCGGCAACATGCACGTGCTGAAGGGAGTAGTAGTGGAGTACGATGGGATGGAAGAAGAAGCCCCACCCACACTCCCGCCACTGAGGGTGAGCTACAACTGGCCTTTGGAAGCATGATTTTGAAGTGTATTGCCCTGTATAATCTGTCTTCCCACTGGTTCCGTCCAGTCCTGATCCTTCTGAATTTCCAGAGCCTCCTGTGTTCCCTTCCAGCCTCCCTCTCCCGCCTCCTTTCTGTATATCTGCCAATTCTGCTGCCCGGTCTCTTGTGGTTCCTGTAAGCCCCTCAGCTCACCCTCAGTCAGCATCATCCTGGAGCCTTGACTCGCCTTGGGGCTTCCAGTCTCCAGCTCTGCCTTGGTCTGAAGATCCCCTGTCTCCGCCTCCGGCCTCTGAGTCCTGAACTCCACCTTGGCCCTTCAACCCATCGGCTCCGCCTTGGCTCCTAGCTCCCTCATCTCCACCATGGCCCATCATCCCATTCACTCCACTGGGCTCCCTCGTCCCTCCGGCTCTGCCTTGGTCAGTCGTCAACCCTCCATCACTACGGGATTCCACTCCTCCTGCTTAGCCTCATCCCTCCATCCCTCTAGGTCCGTCGGGCTCCTCCTTCCCTCCGGCTCCTCCTTGGTCCTCAGTCGCTCTGGACCACTTTTAGGGGACCCTGTGAATGTGAAAAGAGCCCATTATCTAGTTAGTTATAATGAAATTATAAAAAATAGTAAAATGAGCAATATTATTTGGAAAAATAATTTAGGATTTATTCTGCTTATTACTCATAAATGTTTTAATGTGTACTTTTTATAATATTGTTGTTTCTACTGCATTATCTCTTTGTATAGCCTAAAGGAAAGTCACAAGAGACTGTGTGTAACAGTAATTGTACCACATTTGAGAGAAAAGGGGCTTCACATTGTGCATAAGAACACCCTTACTGTGGTACAATCACTGTAACACATGGTTTTCCTTAATATATTAATGTCAGTACCCACATGGACATTGTTCTCAATTTATTACTGAAGAAGTAGTTTTAATTTACCTTCATAAAGATCTTCATATCTCCATGTGTAAATTAAACTTAGCATATTTCAACTGAGTGTACTTGACAACACTCAAACAAGGATAAATAAAAACTCACATTGTTGGCTAACTTCTCTGAGAAACACATGTTGTATAGCGTTTCATTCCTGAATGAATCAGCGTTTTTGAAGGAATGGTTCAAATGACTCACTCATAAAGGCAGTTACTTGTCACCACCTACTGGCATAACGAGTCACTGTAAATCTCCACCACTATTGCACAGACAGACTGTCTCGTTCTGGGATGCTCAAACACACATAAATGGAGTGATACAAACAGTTAAAAGTCCCAGTGCTGTTGGACTGCAGTGAAGCCTACTCTTAACACGATGCTCATCCAATCAGATTCAAAGACCGGAACTAACTGTTATGGATGGATGGATGGATGGATGGATGGATATATAGATATTTCTTAAATGTTATCTTAAATGTAAATTTTCTATTCAGAGACTGTGTTTGCTCAGTTCTTCTTGAATTTATGGTGTGTTGGGGGATTCTGTTGTATCACATTTAAAACCAGGGTCCCTTTGTGGAAACCTGGAAAGTGGATAGATCTGATAATCAGTACTGATATATGATGAGAAACACTCAACATATAACCAGTGCAGTACACTTGTTTTTTGACACTGAGGTAGATATTTGCAGACATAACAATGCATTATGGTTGCATATTTCTATGGTAATGTGTTCCAAGGGAGAAAGGTTTATGTGGATAGAGGATGAATTATCTTTTATATATGTGGCCCTTAACAGCATAAAATAGCAAACAGTAACTAAAACATTAAAAAGCTATTTCAAACTACTGACACCAGAGCACAAAAACAAACAATTATGTAATGAGAATCTAAAGCCTTTATCATAAAACATGCATACATAAATTATTTTACATAAGTCAGAAAAGTAAACTGTAGACTCTATAGTATCACACAACACATATCATTTGGGAAAACAGTGTATTTTTTGTATACAAGCTTGTTCGTGTGATTCCAAATGATGACTGGACCGTGGTCCTGTAAGGCACGACATTTCATTCCACTGTATGTCCCCACATGTAGCAGAATGACAATAAAGCTCAACTTGACTTAACTTGACTATTTGCTCTTCCAAATTTTAAAAAACATTAACCAAGATTTTTCGAAAACAGATTAAAGCACTCTAATTAGCTTTACATTTGAATCAAACCAGGAAGTACAGACAGTGAGTCAAAAAGGTCAGACATTTCAGAGCAGTGTCTCAATGAAAGATCCTACCCATTCACTTCTCTTGCAAAGGGAGTTCAAAATATCTGGTCAGATTAGGGAATCAGAGCAGAAAGATAAACTTAGTTTTTCCAGCTTGGCCCATCAAATTGAAAATGGAATAAAGAAGAATGTCCCTGAACAAGAAATAGTCCATGCAGTCATGAAAGCCATGTCACCTAGCATGCAGCTGCGCAGCTACCTAGAGGGCAAAGCAAACTATTCTATTTAAATCACAGGAAGCTGAGTCTAATCCCAAATATGACCCCATTCTAGTGCAAAATATGGTTCTGCATACAGTTCTTACCGGCCTGCAGAATGACTACATCAGAGTGGATCTCAAGCCATACCTGCAACAAACAGACACTGTTGTAAGAGAAATGGAACCTTAAATGCATGACTGAGACAAAGAGAGACAAAACAAAAAGAAAACTGCAGTCCAGCATTGTCCAATTGTGGTGCATTCAGCAGAATGCAACAATGTTTCAGCTCATGCAGAAAAGAAAGGGAAAACATCACTTCAGGAAAATAAAACTAAACATAACCCTGATTTGGTAAATTAACTCAAAAATCAGACATGGCACTATTAAAAAGCCTCAGCGATGATGTTTCACAGATCAGAGAGTCGATTCAGTTGCCTCAGGCAGCTGTGGAACAGTTCAGCAAGAATTTGCAACACATGGTCTTTTTACCCAGACGAGGAGTCATCGAAGAAGATGCTTCAACTGTCAGCAGAGTGACACTGACAATTATTGTACCCACTGCTATAGATGTGGAAGCAGTGAGCATTTCTTGCAGGCTGTGGTATGAAGGGAGGTGGCCATAATTTAAGAGTATGCACATCCTGCCGCAAAGCTCTTTATTGCTCCAAGTTATGACTATGACAGGCTCGTCACTGGGGTTGCCAGCAGAAAGGGAATAAAGATGTGAAAGAATTAAGTGCCAAAATGAGAACAAATTCAAACAAAACACAAAGTGTGGCCGCTTTAGTGGTAAAACAGTGTCTTATTGACTTTGATATCCATGGAGTAAAAACAACAGCGTTTCGGGATACTGGATCTCAAGTTTGTTTCATTGACGAGTAGTGGAAAAATGAAATATTACCTGATGTGAGGTTGAGGTTTCTTTCTCAAATAATCAATGCACCTGACACACTTCAGATAGTAGCAGCAAACGAACAAGATATCCCTAATGTTGGGTGGATAGAAGTCACGTTTCGGTTGCCAGGAGAAAACAGTGGCAGCATAGATTCTGTCATTCCCATGCTAGCAACAAAGGGGAAATACCTCTCCCATCCCATCATTGGTTACAATGCTATTGAGTTCATAGCGACTAACAGTACAGATGAAAGTGCAGATCGAGCATGTGGGGAACAGTTAAATAGAATAGTGAATATGGCTTTCCCGAGATTAGAGACAAGTCACATTCAAGCTTTTATAGAACTTGCCAGGGCAGAAAAGTCACATGAATATGTGGTGAGGACTCCCAGAGAAAAGGTATTAATTCCCAAGCATACCTCTCTGCAAGTTGAATGTCCATTTCAGGAGACACTTGTACTGGTAAAGAAGGGTGTCCCACCATACACCGTACACTGTAAAAAGTAATCACTGAATCTACTTAAGAAAAGCGAGTAAACATAACTGATTTTTACAAATTTGTTGAATTTACTTAATTACACTGTGTTATGTGAACTTTCAGGTGGATGCAATAGTTAAACTAAACAACTTTAGTAAACAGTACTTAAGAGCATCTAGTTTGTTGGATTAAATCCCACTATGTGCCCTAATAACTCTAGACCAGTAGGTGGCGGAAGGTTAGTTTAAAGAAAACATCACCAGAAGAAGACAACCAACTGAACTTCAGAGTCAGATCGTGTTTGAAATGTGGCCGCAAGATTAGGTAAGTTTTTGGTGATCTACTTATAAACTATATTGTCACAGTGTGAGCTATCGTTTTTGAGGAAAAGAAAAGGCAGATTTTATTAGTTTTTACTGACAAGCATTACTGTAACCGTCAGTTAGCGTACTAGCTAGCCAGTGGCTTACAAGCTAGATTACAAGCATCGATCTTCCTCTTTATTGCTAGTTATAACATGAAATAAACGTGAGTAAGCATCATCATATTCTATGTGCTCTTTTTTGGGGACTTAAACTCATGCAGTGGAATTGGAAGTTCTACTTGTTTGAGTGAAAAGAGAGCTCAACTGCTGAAAAACTTATTAAAATACGGAAGCTATGGAATTAATTCTATGGAATCTGTCATTAATTACTCACCCTCATGTCGTTCCAAACCTATAAGACCTTTGTTCATTTTCGGAACACAATTTAAGATATTTCTGATGAAATCCAAGAGCTTTCTACATATACAGCAACACAACTACCACGTTCAAGACCCAGAAAGAAAGAAAGGACATCGTTCATGAGAATACCACGACGCATGCGTGTGATACTGCTGACGCAGGAGCCGGTGTTCTGACGTAGAACACGCATGCACTGTGCCTTGTTTACAAGCATTCTCAGATTTCATCAAAAATATCTTCATTTGTGTTCCGAAGGAAATTATAGTATCCTCCAGTACTGAAGGACACCTTTGATTTAATTATTGTCTTTGTATTAACAACTTTAAGTTTTGAGTACAGCTTACTTGAGAAATTTAAGGCAATCAGTTTCCACACATTTGTCTAGTAATGTGAACAAATCAGACTTGTTTAGAGAACTGTTTTGTTTGAGTTCTGTGCACTAAGCTTAACTTAAATCTCTAAGTTGCCTGAACTTGTCAAATTGAGTTAGCAACACTCACGTTTTCTGTGTAGGATCTGTCTCACAACAGACCCACCTACATGATGGAGACACACACATCAAACTCGCACATTCCATGGAGGGTTTTTGAGGTTCGTCTTCCCCGCATCTGCAGTCGTAAAACTCATGCAGGATTAAGTAAGGTGAAGCATTTCCTGGACTGTTTGGCTATATCTCAAGATAAGCTAAAAAGGACAGTACTTTAACGGTGCTTAAAATGGTTTTACGGGCTTGCAAAGAGCAGATAGAAATACCCTCATGACCAGTGGACGCATAAATTGCTAAACTACGATCAACAAAAGAGACAATTTTATGGCTCCCTGGCCAGCAGGAGACTTTCCAGGAAATGTCCAGAGCTGACCTGATAGTGACCGGAGAACTCGACACTTTTCCCCCGCATTCCAAGGAAAGAGACAAGATGTCTTTGACAATCGTTTGCTAATAATTGAAAGTATAAAATGATCAGAGCATAGAATTACAAATAGTAGGTTGTTTGTTGTATATATATATATGCTTGACGTGTTTCATGTAATCGGTGCAACTTTAACCAGTGTTTAATTACCCCTTTTTAGGAAATAAGGATATTAAAACTGTGTAATATGTGAAGTTTAATCTTGAACGAATGAAAACCAGAAATGCAGAAGGTTGAAATGAAGTAGACTTTAATAGTATGTACAATATTTGCATTTAAGAGACTTTATAGACGTATCAATATATTATTATAGGTGGCCTCATATAAATGAGAGTCTCTGGTTAATGTATGCACACTCCGCCCCTTTAAGAAGTCGATTGGAAGCCAGCGTCAGGGGACGGACTTATGCCACAGAGCAAAACCCGAATGCAGAACAGAATCCAGGGGTTTTTTTTTTGGTTAGTTAGCTGGCTTGCAACTTCTCCGGCTCTCGCTGGTCGCTGTGTTAGAGCACCTGCACGCGTGCTCACATTTACCATCAAAAGCGACCAGCAAACTAAAACTCAACACTTCAGTGATACTTCGTTGAAATCGTCAACAAACTTGAAAGTCTAAGACTCTCAGCAGATTGCTTGCGCCTCTGCGTCATCACAACTCACGAGGGGTTCCCCAAAGGACATCATACTGACGTCACCGACCCGTCAGTGACGGGGTTTCCCTCAAAGACCTCCAGGAAGCCCGCAGCACCACGGAGTCACCTCAGCTGTCAACCCGCGGAACGCAAGTAAACAACATTTTCTATGATCTGCTGAACGGGTGAATTTAAATGCTTTGCTCTGTGAATTCTTAAGGTGAATTCCCATCCCTCGTGAAAAGAGAGAGAACTATGAAACTCAGAACTCCGTTAACAGTCTTTCCTTCCTCTGAACTGTATGTTTGTGTGTTTTAGCTTAAGTTTATGTGATGTAGAATAGCCAATAAATTTCATGTTTCATTTATAACTAATCAATTGTCTGGGTCATATAATTTCGTGTCAATTCTATTGACAAATCATCAAATTTTGTATTTCACCCGTGGCCAGGGAGAATACAAAAATTACATATTCAATTGGTAATATACACTGACATCAGCTTCTCGCTGGTCGAGTAGCTGATAAAAGTATAAACTATTGAAAGTCAAAGTCAGTTTTGATCAGGTGGACCTCGAATTCTCAGATCGAGTTCTTTTAAAACCTGAGCTAGAAATAAACCTGAATGAATTAATAATGATTAATTCCCTTACAAATAAGTAAATTATTACATCTGGTAACCAATACATATACACAAGTTACCTATACAAAGTTACAGTAAGTTTTATTAACTCAAAAATTATAAACTAATTTGCTTGAGAAATTTGAGGCAATCAGTTTCCACAGGTTTTCCAAGTAAGTTCAACTAATTACTTTTTACAGTGTACTTGACACTCGGAATCCAATGGACTGTGACATTGTCCTCTATGGAAAAACAGTCTTAGGAACAGCACATGTGGTATAAGCTGTTTATCCGTCCATGTCATTTGATCAGCCAAGTCAGTCCATACCTGCATCAGTAAATTCCATTCAAACATGCAGTGTTGAGTTTGCCAGTGATGCCTGGGACCCTCCAG